GCAGGGAGTTGTCCCCCGCAAGGAGCCTCGGCGCTCTTGGGCTTAGGGCTTCGGAGGGTTTCGGGGTTTAGGGGTTTAAGGGTTTGAGGTTTAGGGGTTTAGGGGTTTAGGGGTTTAGGGGTTCAGGGGTTTCGGGGTTTAGGGGTTTAGGGCTTTAGGGTTTAGGGTTTAGGGGTTGAGCCGCCCCGACAGATGGCAGAGCTGCGATGAAAGCAGGACCTCGTCTGAGGCTGCCACAAAGCCCGGTAGCCTTGGCTAAGGCAGGGGCCTTAATAATCAGGGTTGTAGGTTTAAGGTTTAGGCTTTAGGGTTGAGGGTTTAGGGTTTGTGGGCTCCGGAACGAGTATCAGTTTTCTAAAACAAAACCTAAGGAAAGCTAGTCGGCAATAACCTTGGTTTCTGTATTAGCGACAATCTTGTGCCCCAATAGGCTCCTTGAACCCCCCTCAAAACAAAAACACAGCATCCAAGACCCGGTTTAAGCTTTGGGGTTTAGGCTTCGCAAAGGTTTAGGCTTTAGGGTCGGTCAGGAGTTGAAGCCTCCAAAAGTTTAGGAGCTTTGGGTTTAGGTGTTTAGGGCTTAGGGCTCAGCGCTCACGGTTTAGGGTTTAGGGTTTAGGGTTTAGGGTTTAGGGGAGCTGAGGCACTTCTTGTGGAACTTGCAGATCTGAGCGAAGGAAAGCAGTGCCTGCAGACGTGCCCGGCCACACTGGAATCTAGGAAGCTCTAGTAGCGGTATCGAGGTAAGGGGGTACCAGGGAGGCTCTTTCAGGGTGCAGCTGTTGTAAGTCTTAAGGCTTCCAAGCTTAGGGGTCGAGAAGTCAAGGATCCATCCTTAAACCCTAGGCCCATCCTGAGTCCTAAACCCTAAACCCTAAACCCTAAACCCTAAACCCTAAACCCTAAACCCTAAACCCTAAACCCTAAACCCTAAAACCTGTCTTGGGGTTGCAGGTCTCGGGCCAAGAGCTCCAAGGCTTTGGGTCAATTCGAGGGTCCCTTCCTTTGGGGTTTGGGGGTGTGGGTGTTGGATTCGCGGTTTAAGGGGGTGTAGGGCACTCACCCCGGATTCACAACAAATGAACTGGGATCCTCCATCAGGAGACGGTTTAGGGTTTAGGGTTTCTGTTACGAGTACGGGATATTGGGGTCTCGGGGCACCAGTTTTGAGCTGAGGGTTTGAGGGCTAAGGGTGAGCTCATTCATGATCTCGTCCCTTCTTGCGAGACGGCAGGAGGTTCGGAGATCTCGAACTCCTCTTCGCTACTGCTAGTACGATTGCTACTGCTGGCACTCTATCCGTTGCCACTACCGCGCCTGCTTTCTTGCTGGTCCGATGGCCAGTCGTCAAAAGTGAGCGTGACCACAATTGCAATTCATACTCTGTGTCATTGCAACTATCTATATCTATATCTATATCCGTATCTATATTCTATATCTATTTCTATAACTATATCTATAACTATATCTATAACTATATCTATAACTATATCTATAAATGAATAAATAAATATATATATATATATATATATATAAACACATATATATATATAGTTACCAATGTCACTCGTCCTTACATCAAGGCCAAACTGTTCTTATTCCTCGTCTTCCTGATCCTCTTTGTTGGCCGGATTCCTCTCGCTACAGTCTCACGATTCTGATAATGATTACGAGATGGGTAATTCTCTAAATTAGGGTCCGCGTTTAGATCCCAAATATAGTACGGCGCCCTTGTAACGAGGACCCTAAACGGGACCCTAGATTAGAGAACTACCCAGATGATGAAGCCCTCAACTCTAGACAGCAGCGTCCGGCCGTCAGGAAGAGCGGCAGCACAGCGAACTGCCTCACCTAGCAAACGGCAGCGCTAAAATGCACCAGATTTTTGGATTCAGACGTTGGGGCTTACATGGATTTAGGCCTCGGGGTTAAGCATAAACACGCATCGAGGTTCAGCTGTATTGGTTGCTAGCGCTTTTCGGAGAGTCTCAAAATACGCCAAGAATGGTAGAACCCGTAAAGGAACCCTGTTACAATCTAAACCCTAAACCCTAAACCCTAAGCCCTAATATTAAGGCTTCTTTCTCCGTCTCGAACTAATTAAGGGGCCCTGGCGTCTGCCGCTTGTGAACTGCGGAAAGGCTGAAAGGCACCTCGAGAAACCACTGTGTTCTGGTCGTTCCTTCTGTACATAACATAGGAGGATTAAAGTTTAGGGTTTAGGGTTTAGGGTGTAGGGTTTAGGGTCTGTACATAACCTCCGGAGGGTTTACAAGTTTATATAGGCTTTGATGGAGAACCCAAAGGAATAGTATCAGTCACAGTCTATGCTTCGATATTCTGTCGCACATACTTTGTACTTTGTTCTTCCTTTGCGCTTGGCTACTAGTTGATAGAGCTCTGCAGCCAACAGCGCCATGCAGTGCTTCTAAATATAGACCCTAAACCCCTAAACCCTAAACGGCGTTGAGTGCTGTATAGTATAGCTGTATGAAGGAACCCTGTGGCATGACAGGCCTCGCAATAAACCACCCCAAAGCCAGCGCAGAACCGCAAAGCCCTAAACCCGTAAACCCCTAAACCCGAAACCGCTAAACCCTAAACCCCTAAACCCGAAACCCTAAACCGTAAACCCCTAAACCCCTAAACCCGAAACCCTAAACCCCTAAATCCCTAGACCCTAAACCCCTAAACCCTCAACCCTAAACAAACCCTGAACAGCCCGCTCCGAGCCTTCGGATGAATGCCCGGCATCAGAACCGTCGCAGACATGATGGGCATGATGCCTCAGGGTTTCGGATTTAGGGTTTAGGGCTTTGGGTTTGGGGTGTTGGGTCTAGGTTTAGGGTTTGGGGAAGATGAAGATGATGATGATGGTGATGATGATGGTGGTGGTGGGGATGGTGATGGCGACGGTAATGGTGATGATGGTGGTGGCGCTGGTGACGGTGGTGAGGGTGCTGGTGGTGCTGAGGGTGGTGATGGTGCTGAGGGTGCTGATGGCGATGGTGGTGATGGTGGTGATGGTGGTAATGGTGGTGATGCAGCCTTTAGAGCGCCTGCGACATGCTGTCCAGAACAGTGCTGCCAACAGCTCGGTGCTGAAAGTGCTCGCTAGGCCAAAAACTCCAGGAACAGTCTCGCTGCAGTGAAAGGTAACAATGATGCAAATAATGATGCTCTTTCTGAGCTTATGCTACCTCAGTTTCTATGGCGAACCTACTGCTTGGCTGGGGAGCCAGCCCGTGGGCCGGGGCGAGGGAGGTCTGAAACGAGGGCTCTCTTCTGTCAGCTGCCACGTGGTCGTGGAGCGTTTGCAGATGAATAAAGGATTCTTCCACGAGAGCCTGTCTATAGAATAATCCTCAACAGAAGGACAGCAGTGACCTGCGTGACCCGCTGCGTCACACGTCTGAAAGTCTCACTGAAGACCAACGATTACTTTAGGGTTCAGGGTTGGTGTACAACAACCGTCAACATGAGCAGTGACGTAAGGGCACGAACAAATCTTACAGGAGAAAGGAAGAATCTGACTAACACATGTCATAAGAACAAAAACAAGTACGGACGAAGTTTCACCATGGGGCTACACAAACACACACGGACCCCCATAAGAATGGAAGAACAGCACCAAGAATGACGGCAACAGACATCACAACAAGAGTTTAATGGTAGGAACAAGAGAGGCAACAACAAAAGCACGGGTCATGCTGGTCAGCATCATACGCAGGGAAGCTAGACACGTCGTCCGACAGCATATATAGCACTCCACAAGTAGAAAAAACAGGAACAAATGTGTACATACGTATGTATATATATATATATATGCTCACACCCCCCCCCCAAGACCTACTGCGAGGTGCTTCGGCTAGCAATGCGTAGAACATGTAAGGACTTTAGATGACTATTCTATATGGTTAAATACAATCATACATAAGCAATAACAGCATATATCGGGCATAGTTAATAGCTGAATACACTGTAATGACCACGGGTACGACGTCGCGACATCGCCGTTGGCGGATTTGGGCAAGCTTCAATGCCTGCACTTCTGTAATAGGATTCTGCCTAAATGTTCCGGATATTCATAATTCTGTTCATACAATGACGATAGACATAACCCAAAGAGGGACCAAGACAGAACGATGTCTGCATCCTACGTAAGATCGCTAAATGTGCCGGATACTGTTTGTGCTTATCTTTGTTTTTTCTAGTTCTGTTCATGTCATCAGAGGCAGAACCCAAAGACGGTACCAAGACAGAACGATGTGTGCATCCTACATGAGATCGTAATGAGGGTTACATGTGCACACCTTTTTATTTTGTGTGCAGCTTTTGAGTTGCTCATGCGCCAATGTTTATAATAGCTAATAGTAACACGAATACTAAGACTAATACGAATATTCCTACGAATAAAGATGTTCTTTTTTATATTAAGCCCAATGTTAATACTAGCATCAAGAAATACAAATACCAATTACTTGTACTAATATGAATATTAGTACTCTTACGAAGAGTGATACTTATAGTAACGTTAAAACTAATATTAATACTAGTACGAATATTAACATTAATAGCAACACTGATACGAATGTGAATACTAATGTTCCTACGAATACTCATCATAATATTCATAGAATACTAATGTTCCTACGAAGATTAAAAACCTATTCATATTCATAGAAATACTAGCACGAATGCCAATATACACACAAATGCTAATATTAACACTAATATTGTAATGCCAATATACACACAAATGCTGATATAAACACTAATATTGATGTGAATATAAGTAATAGTGTTCCTCCGGATATTAATGCTCATATTCTTACTAAATATTCTCAGTATTTATATCATTAGTAAAAAATATCCGTACTCATATGAATACTAGTATTACCACTTGATACTCCAGCCAATACCATTATGCATAGTACTAACTTCAGTACTGGTACGAATACTACTAATCACGTTCAAGTCGCATCCAAAAAGCACACCCATCAACATACCAAGGAATCTGTATTTTCACATACCAATGTAGCAACATCAACATACTAATATACTCATACACTAAGATTCAAATTTGCCCATAGACCGACTAATATGATACTCTACACGGGTTAATATTCATACTAAGTATAAAACAAAGACTAAGACCAAGACCAATACAAATAGTAACTCTAACATTAACACTAAACATAAACAGTATCATTAGTACACATATTATATAGACATATATTAAGACGAATAATATCACTGACAAGGACATTGGCATTGAAATCGACACTGACACCAACACTAGCACTAACAGCAACACTAATCAACACGAACAATAATATTCAGACTACTACACGTGTTGATGCTACTAACATTGATACTAACACAAAACAAATACTAATACTAACACACATGCCTCTACTGCTCCAAAAGAAGCAGTACTAAGATTAAAACTACCAATGTTAGCTCTATTACTAAGACTGAGATTAAGAAGAAGGCTAAGATTAAGGTAAAAACTAAGACTAAGACCAATAAATACAATTACGTGCTGCGCGCTGTATTGGCTCTAAAGCTCAGAGAACCAAAAATCCAAGAATCCAAAACCCTTCTGAGGGGCCCGAAACTTTTGGATTTTTTGGTTTTCTTAGGTTTTTTTTTGTTTTCCAGCAGAAATCCAAAAAAACACATGGTGTTTTTTTGGTTTTTCAACAGAAATCCAAAAAACACAATGTTTTTTTGGTTTTTCACCAGAGACCGAACAAGAAAACCAAAAAACCCTTGTGTTTTTTTGTTTTCCACCTAAAATCAAACAAAAAAACCATGTGATTTTTTGGATTTCTGTCGGAAAACCAAAAAACCTCTAGCAAAACCAAAAAAAACAAAAGTTTCGGCCCCAGCAGAAAGGTTTTGGATTTTTGGTTTTTTGGTTTCCGCCGAAGGCACTACAAAACCAAAAACCCAAAAATCCCAAAATCCAAAACCCTTCTGAGGGGCCCGAAACTTTTGGATTTTTTGGTTTCCTTAGGTTTTTTTGTTTTCCAGCAGGGATCCCAAAAAAAACATGGTGTTTTTGGTTTTTTAACAGAAATCCAAAAAACACAATGTTTTTTTGGTTTTTCACCAGAGACCGAACAAGAAAACCAAAAAAACCCTGTGTTTTTGTTTTCCACCTAAAACACAAAAAAACATGTGATTTTTTGGATTTCTGTCGGAAAACAAAAAAACCCTAGGAAAACCAAAAAATCCAAAAGTTTCGGCCCCCGCAGAAAGGTTTTGGATTTTTGGATTTTTGGTTTTTTGGTTTCCCCCGTCGTAACGTGTGGTCTCTTGAGCTGTTTCTTGCTTGTGGGTACAGGCATATTAGTATTAAAGCGGATACGAGTACGCACGACGTTGTAAAGAGACATGACTTCAGATCAGCCATGAAAAGTAAGGAGAAGTTATCATCCATGAAACGTGTGCGTTTTGACGGTACTTACACTGGAAAAGAAGCCGAGGTAGGTCATGGGGGTGTGTGTCCATATATATATATATATATAGATATATATATATATATATAGATATATATATATATATATTATAGTACATGAAAACACGGGTCATGATGGTCAGCATCATACGCGCGGAAGCTCGACACGTCGTCCGACAGCATATATAGCGCTCCACATGTAGGAAAACCGGGAACAAATGTATACATACGTATACATATATATATATATATATATCTTTATTATACTTGTATATTGCTATATTTGTAGTATCTATTTTTGTCTCTGAGTGGATCCTGGCATGCTTCCGCCTGAACTGAAGTCTTGCCAAGGTACCAACATCATCCAGCAGCACGTGGTGCATGTAAGCCTTCGTCATCTTGAGCCCGTACCTTATCCAGTCTGCTAGCTGCTAGTGCGAACGATGAGGATGCTGGCGACGACAATAACGATGAGGACGATGATGCTAGTTCTAGTGATGATGGCGATGATGCTGCTGAGGGTGATGACGGGAGTGTGATTCTTTTATATCATGCTTGGCATGCACACCGTGGGTTCGACAAACCTCGTTCACATGCATGCTCGAGGAGCCAGCTCAAGCTTCGTACATATCCGCGTTGCTTACATGCTCCTGCCTTAGTTACTATAAGTTTTTTAACATGACAGTTGCCAAAAGGGGTGCCGTAAGGTCAGTATAAGGATTGCTGCAAGGTTTCTATGCGGGGGACCAGTTTCACTCGCTAGCAGGCGACATGCGAAGCCATCTCGGAGTCCTGAAAAGCTCTCCGCTGCGGCCACGCAGCTTTGCGATGATCTCCAAGAGGAAGGATACAACCTAGCAGATGCAGTCGCAGGGCTTAGGGTTTCGGGTGTAGGGTTTGGGGTTTAGAGTTTGGGGGTTTGGGGTGCTTTACCACAGAAAGCACCAGGAAGCAAGGAAGTAGAGAAACGTCTGAGACCGGATTGAAACATCTTAATGATACTCCTCAGCAGCGCAACGCATACCCGCAAAAAGATGCCGGAACCGCATGCCCAAGTGTAACACGGTGTGCATGGTGAGCCACCACAGCATATCTCAAGGGTCACAGTGAGGGTTTAGGGTTTAGGGTTTAGGGTTTAGGGTTTAGGGTTTAGGGTTGAGGCACCTAAACCCCAAAGCCTAAGTCCAAAACCCAAAGCCCCAGCTCCAAAAACACTCCCTGGCTTTAGGAGAAGAAGAAGCTCGCTCCGGAAAGACACTTAGCAAAAGCATCCACGGCAGGGCTTGGGGCTTAAGGATTTAGGCCTTAGGGTGTAGGGTTTTGAGTTTAGTTTTCGAGGACGACAAGCAACACCGAACATGCGAAAATAAATCAACAAGCCGACAGTGCCAACACATGTCCTGTATTCTAGACCCTAAACGCTAAACCCTAAACCCTAAACCCTACACCCTAAACCCTACACCCTAAACCCTACACCCTAAACTCTACACCCTAAATGCCTCTAAACTGCCCGTTTCCAGGCACCCCAAGTCAAAGCCGCTCTCTGCTTGACTAGCAGGAGATTGCTCCAACAGCCTTATTCTCGTACCGCCATGTCAAAAAAAGGATGATGCCTACGAAACCTTCTTGATTCTCGTTCGAACCAGTTCTGTCTTCAGTCTTGTAGAGCAAGCTCTTGCGACCCTCTCCCTTCCCCAAACCCGCAACCCCATAACTACTATCCAAGGTTGCCAATAACGGGTTAAAACAAAGGTTACTAAACCCTAGGCCCTAAACCCAAACCCTGTTTTGGCGAAACTCCGTGCCAAGCTGCTAGAATGATCACAGCCTGATAGGCAGGGAAGACGCCTGTGTAGGACTGGCGCTGTTTAGGCTTTAAGGCTTAGGGGGTTTAGGAGTGTAGAGTTTAGGACAACAGGTTTAGGAGTTTGGCAGCTCAGGCAAGAAGGGCTCCCAGAAGGCTAGGGGTATACAGGCATTGTTACCATCACTATCAGTGTTAGCCATACAGTAACATCATGAACTGCTCTTCTCGTTGTCCGCAGTTCCAGCCCCGGCCTGCCCAGCAGCCAACAACCATAACCAAGGCGACAGCATAAGCTCCGAAGCAGATGCTGGACTTCTGGCCTCTGCTCGCGAGAGCCGTTCTCCTATCCGTGCTAACCCTAAACCCTAAACCCTAAACCTTAAACCCTAACAATATGGCTACCAGCTTTGTGTCGTGGGTGGCAAGAGTGGTAATGTCAGCGGCAACAGCAGGCGGCAGCTAGTCGTAGTTGTGGTTGTAGCAGCGTAGTAGTAGTAGTAGTAGTAGTAGTAGTAGTAGTAGTAGTGGTAAGTAGCGATGGTAGTAACAGTAGTAGTTGTCGCAGTCGTCGTCGTCGTCGTCGTCGCAGTCTTGGTGGTAGCCGTCGTCGAAGTATCACTCCTTTCCTAAGATCTTAGAATCCAGCGTGAATCACACTGATTTTCCGCAGATCGTTTAACTTTCGGCTTCATCAGAAGACCGCCAAATAGTTGCTGGGAGGAGCCATCTTCGAACCTTCAAGGGCCACTTACTTGTAGCGAAAGACATCCTGACTTTTCACACCAAAGCCCAAACGGGACGAAAAAAGCCGAAACCAACCTAGAGGGAGCCTCAGAAGCATAGTCAGAAAGTCAGAAGGAAAGGAAAACACCAAGTCCTGCCGCCGCCCAGCCGCATTGATATATGCTACCCACCAGCAAGGAACGAACCGCGACTCCAAGAAGCGAAAGCCCTGGGTCCCAACGACGGTAATCCAAACCCCTCAGAGCATGAAAGCAAGCAAAATCCATCATCCCCGAGCTAAATCCTAAACCCGAAGCGGAAAACCCCACTAGACCCTGGAACCGAGAAAATAGAAAGCAAAACCAAGCGGCCAATGTCCGCCCACCTGGACCCGTCGTGGTAAAGGCCCTTGGGTAGCGGACCCAAATCCTCGCTGTTTAGGGCGTAACGGCTCAGAGGGCTGAGCGAAGGCTTTGGGTAGAAGGAGAAGCCTAGGATTTAGGGTTAACATATAATATACTATCTTACAGTATACACTACTATAATGAAGATCTTATAGCATACTATACCAAAATAAAAAATACTAAAAAGTACTGTGTACTACATTCTAGAAGGGTGTAGGTCCAGGTGTCCTTTTCTCGGGGCTGACTCCCAGGATTTAGGCCTGGGTGTAACGGTGTAGGCTGTAGGTCTAGGTCCTAGGGTTTAGGGTTCAGGGTTTAGGGCTTAGGGTTTAGGGTTTAGGATTTAGGGTTTAGGGTTTAGGATTTAGGGGTTCATTCCCTCAACCACCGGAGACTTGAGACTCTGCAAATCCTGAACCCTGAAACCCTAAGCCCGACATATCCCGAGATGATGCCCAAGCCCTACATCCAAACTTCACCAAGCCATGCCCTCACCCCGACACCCGAAGCCGCTGCTGGTGGTAACCACTAGGGTTTAGGGTTTAGGAACCACAAAATATATAATGCAATATGAGATACTATCATTACAACCCAACGTGGCCCCGCCCCACTGCCAAAAACCTCAACAAAGCTCGCTTCGACCCCAACCGAAGCCCTACACCCATAACCCTAAACCCTTAACCCATAACCCATAACCCCAAACCCCTAAACCCATAACCTCAAACCCATAACCCATAGCCCCTGCAACCTTTAACCCCTTATCCCTAATCCCCAAACGCTCCCCTATGAAAATACTGAAATCTGCCCCAAAGAAGCCTCCGCGCGCTGCTCCGCCTCCGTCGTCGGGGCAGGCTCCGAGGGCGGCACATAGCGGTCGTCGAAGTTGGGGTCGACGTGCCTACTTGAAGGATCAGGGGACTTGGTAGGGTTTAGGGTTTAGGGTTTAGGGTTTAGGGTATATAAGGTAACTAGTCTTATAAGCTCCTTTTTACGCCCCACTTTAGGTACTCGCAACCTTACGTACTAAGTCCCACGATCCTTGAAGTAGGGCTTCGGGCGTGGGAGTCTGGCTCAGGACTTTTCGGTTTCTGGGTTTCTGAGTTCGGGAGTTTGGGGAGCCGGGTTTAGGCATTCAAGGCTCAAGGCGTCAGGGCCCAGGGTTTGAGGGCCTAGGGTTTAGGGGTTTAGGGCTTAGGGCTTAGGATGAAAGTTGTAGTGTTCGAGGTTTACGGCTCATGGCCTACATAAAAGCCGACGCTTTCCGGCTGCCAGCATCAAAACCCATCGCCTCGAACTGTCTAAGAGCAAGCCATGCCTGGCGACACATCGGAGGGTGGGCAGTATAGTATAATATACGATACATACGATCATGTACTATAATGTACTAGAATGTACTAAAATATGCTATGCGACATTATCCTATATCCAAGAACGTTCGGTCCCCCGACTGTACAGCTGATTGCAAGTTTCCTAGCCACCCGTGCAAACTTTAGAAGTGACGACCCTAGCAAAGGTGAGTCAAGGTCTTGGAGAAATCTTCGGAGAGTGGCGGCTTGGGTGGAGGGCTTTCCGCTGACAGCTCGGCCTTCCGCATGACATACTGTCCTCACATTTGGAATCCCTAAACCCTAAACCCTAAACCCCTAAACCCTAAACCCTAAACCCTGTCTTTAAGGCACCTCATTTCATGGAAAAGTGCAGGAACGGGAAAGCCCAGAATGGTAACCTCCGTCTCGGTACGGCCCCCACATGATTCCTGGCCCTGGTGTTTAGAGACAGTTTAGGCTTTAGAGCTTAGAGTTTAAGGGTTTGAGGTTTAGGGTTTAGGATTCAGGAAGTTGGGTTTAGGAATTCGGAGTTGTCTCAAAGCTCTTGCGGCTTTTGTGCGGCTTCCCCTTCGGAGCTGGGGGCAGGTACTGCCGTCCAGCTGCTTCTTGTACCACTTCTTCTTGTATTTCACGATTTGCTCCTGAACTCCAGAAGGGCTTTCGGTTTAGGCTTTAGGGCTTGGGGTTTGGGGTTTAGGGTTAACCCTAAACCTTTCACCAGTCGGGCGGCAGGGTTGCGGGTCGTCCTTGCTCTGGTTGTTACGGGTTCAGTGCCTAGGGCTTGCCTCTGCCGGATTGCTACAATCCAAGACGGCTCTGAGACGCAGGTGTTACCGAAGCTAGATCACGCCCTCAGGCTACTACCTGAACCCTAAACCCTGAACCCTGAACCCTAAACCCTGAACCCTGAACCCCCAAAAACCCCAAACAGGGGACCGTAACGACCTTCAGATCGGCACAAGCTTTAGGGTCCAGGGCACAGTCGCGAGGAACCCACAGTGCACATTGTGTGTTGTAGTATGTTATGGTGCACTACTGTATATTAGAGTATGTCATAGTATATTTGTCGTATAATTTTAGCATGTTATAGTCTGATATTGTGGTTTATCGCAGATTGTAGTACATTACAGTCTACGCAACACAAAGCCCCAACCGTGGCTTAGGTTGGTGGTGGGGAAAAGCAAAGATGAGGACCTGGCCTGTGTAGGTGGCGGGTGCAGACCATTCCTGACTTCATGGGTCCACGCTGGCTTCTGGATTCGCGGGCCTTCTAAAATTTAGGGTTTAGGGTTTAGGGTTTAGGGTTCAGGGCTTAGGGTTGAAGGGTTTAGGGTTTGCAGGTCGCAAGTTTCGAGGGAATGAGTCAGGGATGCGTATTTCTTCAGGCGGGGCCATGCAGCCACAGCCGTGATCCAGCTAGTAGGCTGCAGACTTGAGAGCGTGGAACCGCATTTACTGACCTGATGCAAGCAAAGTTCAAGTAGGCTCGCCAGCGCTCATCAGCCCAATCGAAGGATACGAAACGCTCATAGTCGTCAGCCATGGCTGCATATGTATGCCGTACCGATTTTGCGACAGATTTCCTCTTTGTAACTTCTAGAAGGGAGTGCCCTCCTCACGTGGATATTTCTTGCACGTGTTATGGCGCAAGATGCAGTTGGTATTTGCAGCAAGTTCCCTGTCGAGCCAGAGGACTAGATGCATGGCTGAGGCTTTCACGAAGAGGCCACACCACAGCCCGGCGCAAGCACATGGCCCATGCCACCTGAAACCCCTGAATCCTCTCATCCGGAAGCCCAGTGCCGACCCCGTCCAAGACCCGAAACCGGCCAACGTCGACGTCCGGACCACTTCTGTTTTGGGATGGTTGTCTCGGCCACTAATTGCATGCGGTTCAGGCTGGCCGGAGCAGGGTCCTTCGAGCTTCCAGCCCGGGGTTTTGGGGTTTTGGGTTTAAGGGTTCAGGATTTAGGGCACTTGGCCGGCCTGAGAAAGCACTAGCGAAACTGCTTCGTTCAGAAGCACCTGAAGGTTTCAAGTACCCAAAGGTCCTAGACCCCGACACCTCAAACCCTAAACACGACATAGGGAAGCCCTTCTTTAACCCTAAACGCTAAACCCTAAACCCTAAACCCTAAACCCTAATAGGGCTTTGCTGCCGACTGCCCTGGGTTCGAGCCACGAAGTTGAAGTTCCCACTCGCTATTAGCTCCACAGCTGCCGGTTGAAGGGCCCTGGGCCAAAAATTGTGGGTTTACGGTTTAGGGTTCAGGGTTTAGGGTTTAGGGTTTAGGGTTTAGGGTTTAGGGTTTAGGGTTCAGGGTTCAGGGTTTAGGGTTTAGGGTTTAGGGTTTAGCATAAGGTTTAGGGTTAGAACGTTGTCTTCGCCGTTATAGAAACTATGGCCCTAAACCCACTCAAATGGCAGAGAACTAGAAGGCAGCTTTGTCTTAACCCCCGTAAACCCTAAACCCTAAACCCCTAAACCCTAAACCCCTGCACCTGGAGGGGTGGTGGGGAGTCGTGCGGGTCCCGTGTTTTGTGGCTTCCTCCCCGGTAAATGGCCAAAATCGAAAACTAAAAACTACAAACACATGATAAAAACGAACAAAAACAGCTAAACAAACGTAAGCATGAAGCAAACGAGTGTTTCGCCAGCTTTTCGGCTGCTGTTGTGTTGCTCCCCATTTCTGTAGCTTTAGCTCAGCATTATTCAGCTTTGCTTGAGGTTGTTCTAGGTTTTTGTCCAGCTTATTTCTGGTTTGTCCTGTGTTGAGCGTTTTCCTGGAGGGCCGCAATCCCGGCAGCGTGCCTTTACCTTGGCTTGGCCTTTACAGATCTGACGGCCTCAGCTTTCTAGCAGCCTTTTTGGATACCAGTATTTTAACATTGCTTCGACCCAAAATATACCTTTTTCGGAGGAGGCTTTTCAAGTGTAGGTTTTAGGTTCCCTGATCCCCTATATCAAAGCCTGAAACCCACGTTTTTCCTTCCATGCGTGTGCGAAACCTCAAAACCCACTCGTAGAGAGCTCTTAAGGGAAGCCCTGAAGGAACCTAAGTTCCGGGGCTTTGGGTTTCTTTTCTCAGCTCAGGGCTTGGGGCTTGGAGTTGCAGATCTTCGAGGGCGCTGTTGGTCCGAAAGCTCGGGGCTCCCCGGATTTTTTGTCTTGGGTTAGTTTAGGATCTCAGGGTCCCAAGCTGAGGATGTTGGATTCGGGCTCTGTTTTGACCGACCAGTTTCAGCGCTCAGGGATAGGGTAGGACTAGTGGGGATCGTGGCAGTAAGACTCGTCCTCGTCGACGTCGCCGTCGCCGCCGTCGTCTAAGAAGCGTGGTAGAAGTGGCGGACTTTCCGGTAAGGATCACTGTTGCCGGCTCAGTCGGAAAGTTCAAAACAACCTTCCGTCCGGATAGAACAAAGCCATCATGTCACTGTGCCGTAGCCACTTCGCGACATCTGCGGGCCAATGCGACTCGTTGCGGAAGTAGCTCATCATCTTGGCGTACTGCGCAGTCCAAACGTTCGATGTAATCATGGTATTCTCGGATAAGCCAATGCCTGGAAACCAGGGCTGCAGGGCGACCTCTCTTGCTCGCATGCCGTCTTCAAACGGGGGCAGCACGATCCATACGGCGTTGGCAAGAGACGAAATCCTCTCCCGAATTAAATCATTGATCTTGAAGTTGAACCCGCCGAACTCACGGAATGCAAGATAAGTGTTCCACCACCAATGGTCGGTCAGAGGAAGATAGAATTGGCGGGTATAGTTGATAATACCCTCCTTCAGCTCCTCATCGCTCAAGCCCAACAGATAAATCTGACAAGCGGTGACGTTATACTTGTGTTTGAGCAGGCAAATCCTGGGTTCTCGTCAAGGATAGATTGAATCCTAAACCCTAAAAAAATCTTATAAGCCCTAAAACGCTGAAGTTAGTTTCCTCACCTTCAATCTAATTCAGGAGCACAGAGTTAATCATAATATGAAGCCCCTTACAGTTTGAGGCATGTTCCTTCATTAAGGGGCCATTGGGCTCTCTGGGTCAAGGGCCAGGAACTCAAAAAAATGGGACACGGCGAGGGCTCCAGATCTTCGTATGGTGGAAACGAACCTCGGCTTAGGGCTGTATAGGCTTTAGGGTTTAGGATGTGGGCATTATGTTTTGGAGTTTACGGCTCAGGATTTCAGGTTGAAGGCTTGAGTTTTGTATAGAACTTAGGAACCTAATTCAGCAGTCCTAGTAATTAAACACAGCAAGCATGCCTTTCTCTAGACAACAACAAGAGTTGATCTCCCCTTTGCCTTCCATGTAAGCCCTAGACCCTAAATCCTGTGGTTAGCAAACCTTAAACCCTAAACCCTCCGCCTATCAGCAGCTTTTTAAGGCTTAGGGGTGTAGGGGTTTGGGTTTAGAGCTTACGTAGGGTTTAGAGCTTAGGGGCTTTAGGCTTGGAGTCGAAAGCTTCCTTTGTGGAGTTTAAGGGTTTTTCTCTTCGGGGTTCTTCGGGTTTCAAGCCTTTGGTCACAGATGTCTGTCTGGTGCTTAGTGGGGAATGGGGGAATGGGTTATAGGGACTACTCTAAGGGACCTTAAGGGACTATCATAGGGATCCATTCGCACATGTCCTACTAAGCACCAGACAGATGTTGGTCGATCTGTCTTAAAGGCTCAGCTTTCACGGATGTGACTTACGCACCAATCACGCTGCAAAACGACTTTCCAGAACAGCCCAAGGTCAAACACCAGTTTGCAACGGTACAGTTTTTCAGACTCTGCATCACATCGTGATCGATTCCGTCCCATCTGCGATCATAGGGGACATGGACTCTAGAGACTTTTTGCTGTCGTCCTTCGGCAACCGCACGAGCTGAAATGGCCCTGAAGAGAGTCGTGCTGCCAGTCTTCGAGTGGGCGGCAAGGATGACACGACTGGGAGGACCAGAACGATGCTTCGGAGCCTCTTTTGGTCTAAGGCTTAGGGGGCTTAGGGCTTAAGGTTTAGGGCTTAGGGCCTTTAGTACTTGGGGTTGAGGACTCAATTTTGTTTCATTTTGGGTCTTCGGTTTAGGCTTTTGAGCTTCCGGTTTTGCGGCTTCAGAGCTGCGCGAGCCTCTTCTCGGCCAGAGCTGCTCCCTCGAAAGCCATCGTGGCCGAAGGCGACGGTAGAGAACCGGAAGTACAAGCTTCCGACGACAGATCCCACGACGGCGAGGATCAGCACGAAGCAAGCAGTGCACCGGAAAGTCCATCTAGCACCGGGGGAGTCCATGGGGAGCAGACACTGGTAACTCTGGCATGGCTGTTCACGCCACGCCTACTTCTAAAAGTGTTAGCTGATAGCGTCGCCTTGCTTCGTCCACAGGTGCCTGCTTTTGTGATATAATTTTCGTGTGTCCGTCGTTGCTAGCATTTCGGTTCGCCACACCTGCGTCTCCAGGATTGTGGCCGCCCGAAACCAGCGAAAAGATACTGATTCGACTACGAAGAATAATGAATCTTCATACAGTCAGCTTCGAGCAGGCAAAGAAGTGGGTCTGTAATCATCAGCTTTTGGGCACAAGAAGTCTGCCAGCGGCTTAGGCTGGAAGCCGGCTTATGAACAGGGCTTAAGGATTTTATGCGCGAGCTGGCTAGGGCTTGAGGGTGCAACTTGTGGGTGCGAGCTTCAGCTAGGATCAGGAACTTGGCTTTGAAGTAACCTGGGAGAAAAAAGTACAAACTTGTGTTTCACCATGGTTCCTTTAAGGAGCAGGTCCCAAAAAAGTATTGTATGGTACTCCAGAGTTAGGGTTTGGGGTTCAGGGTCTAGGGACCCGCAAACCTGCCACAGCTCCTCAGAACATGGTTAGAAGACTGACAGCCGCACCACGAGAGACAGGCTGCGGGAGTGTGTTGCACATCATGCACACTGTTGTAGAGGCACCTGCATTCCGAAAAGCGTATGTACACGTGCACATGTTTGCTTAATATGCGTACCTACTTACCGTGCCTGCACATCACCAAGTTAGACCAAGCCTGCATGAGACAGCTGAGAATTCAGGAAGGCCCAGGAATCGCAGGAAGTCGTTCTTTGCGCTCGATCCAACGTGACAGGTGTTTGAAGTGGCATCTGCGCCACAGGCATGACGTTTGTCATGCCTTCAATGTGCACCTAGTCGCAAGTAGTCTTGGTCCAGAAAGGGCACACCTTCAAATTTCTTGAAGGGCCTGCGTTCAAGACCGAAGAACTGTTCTGCGAGAGTCTCTCTAACTACTGTGCCCAAACCCTCTGCGCCGCTCTTAGAGCTGGGCAGATGAAGGGGAATTCAGGGCGACACTGTTCGACATGGTGTAGCCCAGCGCCGCGGCAACGTGGGACGCCTTTTCGACGATTGCGGACACGTCCTGACATGCCCAGACCGCGCCGGAGCACCCCGCTCTGAAAAATCTCCCTCGCAATCTCCGTGCATATATGCTTGTCGAGATTCTAGGACCGTCTGATCCAAGACGTCGCTCATCCGCTGCTTCGGCATGCTGTTTAAGCATTCGACCTGGAGCTGTAGGAGCTGTGCGATTACATCGACTGGAATCAAGAGGGTTTGGGGTTTTAGGCGTCCTATGTCCTAGCTTAAATCTCAGATCCTGCCAACGACCTGCGCGATTATTACCGCCGCCTGTCAGTGGACCATTCTGCAAGTGCTGTCGCAGGCTCAAGCCGAAGTAGTACCGGAGGTCGACCGTCGGATATATACTATACTATAGTTTACCATACTATACTATACTATACTATATACTATAATCCACAAGAGAATCAGATCGCCAGATGGCCGTAGACTCAACCCGAGCCCTGACAAAAGATCACGCACATCATCAGACCAAACCAAGATAGCGAAAGCAGTGCCTGCACAACACAGAATGCTGTATGTAGGCATGTATGTATGTATGTATGTATGTATGTATGTATGTATGTATGTATGGAGGTATGTAGGTATCTCGGTCTGCAGGTATGTAGGGATGCATGCATGTGTGTACGCATGTATCTGCATGTATGTGCATGTATGCACATGTTAGCGCATGTAAGCGCATGTAAGCATGCATGCATGAAGGCATGGATGGATGGATGGATGGAT